GCTATTGGAGTAAAAAATTGGAGAACAACAGGAAGCTTGGGACAAAAAAAGAGAACGCATGGTAGAGACCCACAAGCAAGAACTATTTGAGGCTCACAGTCATTCAATTTTGGAACTGGAAAAATGAAGGGTCAGTTGGTAATGGAACGAGAAAAGGCCGAGTTATTGGAGCAAGAGAAATTGGTATTGAGTGACCAATACAGATGTGAAACAGAGCGGTTAAGGGCTAAAATTGAGGCCTTGAACATCGAGGTGACAAGATTGGCAGAGGATTTAGTCAATATTGGTCGAGTGCAAGTATCGACGTTGCCAGTTCTCGAAGTTCCAGAAGAAAGGAGTCACTTTTAGTGCCAATTGGAATTGAGAGATGCCCAGATCCTGAAATTGGAAGCTCAAGTCTGTGAACTGGGCGAGTACAATGAAGACCTTTCAGCTCACTTGAGGTAAGAGCCGATAGAAGGATTGGAGGAAGATGAAGATTTGCAGTTGGAATAGGAATTAGTGGAACCAATAATAGTTATTGTGGCAATTGATTAATTAGATAGGTCAGATGGATTGCAATTTTTGTAGAGTTTTGTTAGATAATTTTTAGATAGGTATCAATTGAGTGTTTGGGACGATGCTGCACAGATAGGAGTGGGGCTATGTAGAATAGATATTAATTCGTTTTTGAAAGATATTGATAAAATATATTAATAGTCCATATAATAGAAAATTTAAGAGGACGGATGAGCGATTTAGTTATTAAAAGTGGTTAATTATAGAATTACGATTAGAATCTAAAGAATCAGGAAAAAGTATATAGGAGTTGTAGAATTTAATTAAAGTGCCATTGCTGTGATAGTTGTGAGCCGGGGTAAGCTTGGTGCTACCTCTTTTCTTTTATTTGTTATTTTCTTTGAATAAGATGATTGAGACTTTCTAAATATTGTGAAGTGAATTACGGAATAGAAATGTGATTAGTATTATTTGAGAAGAAGAAAGATTGAATGTTGAAATCTGATTATAGTTTAGCAGAGTTAATGAGTTAGTGTTTGTGTAAAACACTATAATGTGAATGGCAGTTCTGTGTGAAGAATTCCAGTGATTGGAATGATGGTAATTGTGTGCTGAAAGTTGTGAGGGTGCAGTATTACAGTTGGAGATTATGAGGGTGAATATATTGGTGGAAATAGCAGTTATTGATATGATTGAATTGCTATAAGGAAGAGACCGATAAGGTGAAGGAGGAGATTATAGTTTCCTTGTGTGTTCAGATATTGGAAATAGAGACTATACATTCAGGAGGTAATTGGTTGTGTGATCCTAACGTGAACGCTTAAGCAACTAGTCATTCCCTGTATTCGAATCTTTCTATACGAATTTATTCTCATTAGATTAATTTAAAATAAGTAAAATGAGCAATCACAAAATTGATCTATTTTTACGTACTATTATCTAAATCATATAAGTAATTATTAGTTTACATGTATATATCTGTGACAACCAAGTATGGACATTGTGAATAAAATGTCATTACTTTTAGACTTACAAATATGCTAACTACTTTCAATATCTAATAAATGATGTCTTTTGTGAATTTTTTGATGATTTTGTTGTTTACTATTTAGAAAATAACTTAATCTATTTTAAAAATATAAAAGAATATAAAATTTATATTTATCATATATTATAAAAATTAAAAGATATAAGATTATTTTTCAAGATAAAAAATTATGTATTTTACACTATTCAAGTTGACTCCCTAAAATACATCATTTCAAATGATGGTCTTATGATGTATCCTAAAAAAGTCTAAATTATTATAGATTGAAAGATTCCAAAAATAATTAGAGAAGTACTATATTTTTTGAAATTTATAAATTATTATCAAATCTCTATCAAGAACTTTATCAAGTTATAGCTCTTCTTATATGCTTGTTATATAAAGACAAACTTTAGTGGAGCAAAGAAATTAAAACATGTTTTAAGCCTTGAAGACATCATTTATTTTTGTACCAATCTTATATCTTGTTGACTTTTTAAGGAATTTTTTATGAAAATAGATGCATTAGATTTTGCTATAGATATTATTTTGTCATAAATAGAAGTAATTAATAAGCTCCACCTAATTGATTTTCATTCTAAGAAATTTATAGCAGCCAAGCTTAATTATAAGCTCCATGATAAAGAAATTTTTGTAATTTCTTCTAAGTCTTATAATACTTCCAAGTTTGAGTTTAAGAACAATCTACTCTATTTTGAGGAACAATTATATATTCCAAAAGGAAAGCATAATTATGTGTTCTTCAAGCTTGTTATGATTTTTGGCCACCAAAAATCTCTAGATATTAGCTTTAAAGTCTTATTATATCTAAAATATTTTGCTTTTAGGTTCATATGATTCTTTATTTGTGATAGTAGATCATTATATCAAGGTGGCAAATTATATATTATATACAAAATCTATTACTTCTAAAGAAACAACTGAGATTTTTCTTGACTACATCTATTGCTATCATGGATTGCTAGAAGATATCATATAGGATAGATAGATTCAATTTGTATTATGATTTTGGAGAATCCTTTTTAAGATTTTAAAGGTAGATATAAAGCTCTTTTTGGCTTTTTATCTTCAAATTGATAGATAAATAAAATAAGTGAATTAAATTTTGGAGCAGTATTTGAGGTATATTATCAATTGTCATCAAGATAATTAGACAACTTTTTATTATTAATAATAGAGTTTGTATATAATAATTTTGTAAATTATTCTATTCAATAAACATCTTTCTTTATCAATTATAGTTATCATCCATAATTTAATATTTTTGATTTTTTAAAATTGATAATCTTACAATGAAAGACTTGATAAATTATTTATCAAAGCTACATGCAACAATGAAGGCATAGTTATAGAGAGTTCAAGAACAAAAAAAAATGAATATAGATGCCTATTGCAAAGAACAATCACAATTCAACTTAGGTGACAAGGTATGGTTATTTTGTCACATTATCAAGACTACTTGTTCTTGTGATAAATTAAACTATCGTAGGCTTGAATCATTTTCTATTTGTGAATAAGTCAATCTTGTTGTTTATCAATTATATCTATCAAAGTTAATGAAGATCTATCCTATATGCCATGTGTCTCTTTTTGAACTATATAAGACAGTAAATATTTTAGGAAGATGACAAATGCCACTTTTTTTTTTAGAAGTAGATAATAATCAAGAATTTGAGATAGAAGAAGTCGTAGATTCAAAGAAATGGCAAAATAGATTGGAATATTTTATTCATTAATACAAATATAATATTAGTGAATGCACATAGAAGCCAACAAAAAATCTTGGAAATGCAACAAAGAGGGTTCAAGCTTTTTATCAATGATATCTATCAAAACCAACATGAAAAATAACAAGATCTATAAAAGATGATGACTACTTTTTATAAAAATTATCTCTAAAAGGAAGATAATATTATAGACATACATATTTATTTTAATAATTACATATATGATTAAATAGAAGTAAATTAAAATAAATTAATTTCATAATATCTTTTAGAATAACTTTATAAAAGCTTCGTAGATGCTACTTTGACTTTACACATGTTAGTAGTTAATTGGTAGGCTAGAAACTTGGTCAACAAGTTAGCCACATATTACATATATTGTTAGCTTGTAGAATAAGCTAACTACGTAGTGCACATATAGATAACTTACCTTCTAAGTTAAGACATTTGTCTAGCAAAGTCAACACATATTGGAGGTCCTATAGAATATTGTTATGTAGCTCCTAATTAGATAATATATATAGAGGCAAGAGTGAAGCATTTTTCATTCTTGTCAATATCTTTTTAATTCTTAGATTTGTTTTAAAACTTTCTAATCTTCTTGTCTTTAACAATAGCCATTTTAGTTCAATATATTACCATCTTTGAGTGAATTCTTAGACTTTTGAAGTAACACAAGAATATATTAAGGTTTTTTTTTTTTGAGGTTCATGTCTTTGATAGGTAACGAAAGATTTTTTTTATTTTTTTTTTCTTAAGATCATTTATGTTGAGATGTTAAATCTTAAATGCTAATTGCTCATCAAGACCTTGTAATCATCCAAGTGATTTCCATACTTGTTGGATTAGCATTTTTTTTTTGTTAGCGATTAAATATAATTCATTATGTAACCACAATTTTTTTACCTCTACTTGCTAAGTTCTAAGTTTATGTATTTGCAAATTCTCATATAACTCTCGTCATCTCCACCAAAAAAATCAAATGGATGTGATTGTTATCATAGGTAATTTAGTGAGATTAGCAAGGAGTTAAGCTATCAACAAAAGAAGGGATGGGTTCTATTAGAGGTGGCCATGAGTTCGTAAATAAGGCTCAATTTAAGAATGATGCCAAACAATGATGAGATGAATCCCATCCAATATAGTATAATTACAATAGATTCATAAAATATTCATGTATTCCAATACTTATTGAGGCCCTTGTATTAGGTGGTTTTATATTAAAATATTGACATATGCAATGTTTTGACTAGTCCTTCAAATTAGGCTCTCTTATTGTCTTATTGGTTAATACTAGATTTGTGCTAAGCCTATTTCTTATCTCTGTAGATGATACTATCTCTTACAACATAAGTATTGCCACTTTTTGCATAAACTCTTTCCCACAACCCTTCGGCAGAAATAGATTCATCTCGTGAAAAGCAGAGAACTTCGATGGTCGCATGGACAAAGTGCAGTGGGTCACTTGAATTGGCGCGGCCCTGTTTTTTGCCGATTTTATCACCAGATGGAGCTTGTCTTGGGAACCGCGCCCGGTCAAGGCTGGTCACGGGTTTCAAATTCCTACTGGGCCCGGCCCGGCTGGGCCTGCCTCTGCTTGTGTTTCAGCAAGAAATGTCGAGAGCAGGGAGGAACGAGGACTGCTGCGTCGAGGTTTCTGTGTCGCTCTCTCTCTGCCTTGTAGTGGAAGTTTGGTTGGATCTGCGGCTGCGGTGACCTTCGTCGTGATCAGGTGTGTTGATTACTGAACCCTTTCCTCCCCCTCTCACGGTCGCGAACTCGTTATTTTACTTCTTAAGATCTCATTTTTGTAGACGAATCGTTACGTGCCTTGAATGCGGAGCGGGACTTCATGAAAACCCGGGTACGCGTAGGGTTCTACAATAGTTATGTTTGTGTGTTTAGGACTTTTGGGGTATTTTGAGGTTTCTTAGGTGAGTACTTCTGTGGAATGAGCTGGTTGCGCGTTGCCCATAATTGCGCTATTGGCCTGGCTAATGTTGTGGTCTGCAGCGATGGCACTTTTAAATGGGATTAGAAATGAGTTATTCTAGAGTATATGGTCTACTAAATCTGAAACGCGTTGGGTTTTTGCTTCTGCAACGATGATTATGATTATGAGCCACAGAACTGAAGATGGTGGCCATTCCCTAGGTGTGAACTGTTTGTAGTCTCAGTGTAACACAGCCTAGCGAGGCGCTGCTTGCAGGCGGTGCGGCGTTGCAATCAAGTGAAATGTTCCTAGATATTGTGTGATTGTGGTGCTTTAAGTGGGTTGCAGATGTCGAAGAAGTTGCTGGCGATCTTGGTTCGGTTCAGAGCAGCTCAGCCCTATTTTAGTGCTTTTTATTGCAGTACATAAAACGGGTCGAACCGTGGGGGTTGAAGTGTTTGTGTTTTACGAGGCTTTTGTACACCGATGCGCCAGTCTGGGCGAATCGCAGTGCGGAAAGGTACCAGTCGTCTTCATGGGAGATTGGCGCGGTGTTTTTATTGACGGTGGGGTCACTGTGGGTATTGTGTGGAGTTGAAAATATGAGTTCGGTCGAGCGTTTACACTTTTGTCACAAGATAATCTGGGGGGCCACATTGCTTACAAGGTGATACCATTGCGTTCCTAGATGCTACAGGTTCAGAAGTAGTACGAGAACTGGCACCAGGTTAAGAGGAGTTTCAAAGTGGGATATCTCTGCACGCTGCAGCTTGATCCTCTGTGAAGATGGCGAGTTTAGGGAATATAACGTGCCTAAGATTGGACAATGTGGTTAGGAATGGCGAAATAAACGAGACTTCCGACTTGTTAGTGAAAGGCACTTGGTTGCCATCCGAGTTTAGTATTTCCGTATGTGATGGATCGCTCTCTTGGATAGGCAGGGCTGATAAGGACTTCGTTTTGAACAATGCAAACAAATTTGCAATGACTCCATCGGAGTATGTGGACAAAATTCAATGCTGTTATAGTAAACAGCAACCTGATACCAGGTACGAATTGAAACGGGCCGCGAATTCTAGTCTGGAATTACATTGTCACACAGAATCGCGTTACGAGCTGATTTTGAGATTACCCTTGACTGAAGTTAGTCATCAAACAGTGCCTATCGAGATGATACAGTTTTTGCTGGATGCTTATCACTATATGAAGGAAGAGCTTGCTAAAAAAACACGGGCCTATGAAAGAGAGGTCGCAGCGAAAGAGCTAGCCTTGGCTTCGCTGAAAAGTCAAGTAGAAGAAGGTGGAACTGGTACTGCTCCGATTGGCGATATGAACGTGCAGTTAGATGAAAAAGGTGATGGTCTGCAAAACGTCGGAAGGACGTCCTCTCGAGGTAAACGGAAAGCAGGTGCTAGTGCCATGGAAGTAGTCTCCAGGAAACGGGCATCGACAGCAGTAAAAGCTTCAGATACTCCGCCACTTCTTCAGAAGCCTGCTTCTCCAGTGATTCCCACAGACGATGCTCCCCTTGAGAAGCAGTCATCAACATTAGCACTCCGTCCCCATTTGGAAGCGTTGGGGTACACACAGCCAACAGTTGGTGAGGAGCGTTTGAACTCTAACAAAATTCCTATCTGGTCGGACAAAAGAGAGACCGAGCCTATCAAGGAGCGTTCTAATGATGACTCCGAGGATAGCCTTTCAGACGAAGCTCAGCCCAAGAAGGCGTCTCATAACCATCGTTCTGATGCAGAAATAGCGATAGAGAGCAAAATCTATCTGGATGCAACACCTGCTTCTGGGAAGAGAGGAAGTGGGAAGAAACAACGGAAATCAAGTGGGAGAACGGTTGGAAAATCAGGTAGAAAATCTAACAAGAAGTCTCAAGCTGAATCTTTGGAGGATTCCCCAGAAAACCAGGATGAGGATGTTGTAGAAACGACTGGAAAGGGTGTGGAAAATTTCGCTTCGACACCAGCAAAGCCACAGCGTCCAGTTCCAGTGACTGCAAAGAAGACAAGCGCTTCGAAGAGTTCCTCAAAAGCCAAAACTAGTGCCGCTAAGAGCATCAAAAAAAGATCAAAATCAGTCTCAGAGATAGAAGAGATATCTTCTGAATCTGACGATGAGCCCGAGGCGAGTGAAGTTTCCGAGGTTGGTGCCAAGCCTGAAGAAGATGAAGATACTGATAGAGCCATTGCCGTGCAAAGTGCTGAGTTCCATGACTTCGATCTGACTCGTACTGAATCTGACTTTGAAATAGATCATTTCTGGGCGCTTTACGACGACCAGGATGGTATGCCTCGCTTCTATGCACGCGTCATCGATGTTAGAAGGGACCCCTTTCAAGTGAAGGTGCGGTGGCTGGAGTCTTTCAAACCCAACCTTCCTGCCAATTGTCTTGTCAAAACTGCGCACCTTTCTACTTCCTGTGGAGAGTTCATCATAGGAACCGAAATATTACAGGATCTTCCAGCATTTTCACACAAAATTGAAGTGCAACAAGAAGGGAACAACAAGAGGTCAATGGTCAAGTACTTTCCTGAAATAGAAGAAATATGGGCTTTGTATAGAGACTGGGATAAGAAACACCCAAAGAAGGAAGATGACGTCACGGAAATTCAGTACAATTATGATCTGGTCCAAGTGCAATCAAAACTCTCGCCTGTAGAGGGAGTGGATGTGGTGCCTCTTGTTAAAGTGACTGGATTTAAGTCGGTATTTACTGTTGAAGATGTGGCGAAGAAGTTCAATATTCCCTACGAGCAATTACAGGCGAGGTTTTCCCACCGCATTCCTGAAAAAATGCTCCACAGATCTGAGAGTCCTGGAATCCCTGTCGGTGCTTTCGAACTTGATCCTGCATCCACACCCTCGGAGTACTTGGGCAGTGGTGACCCTTTGCAATGAGCCCATGCTTTCCAGCTTGGAGCTTATTTTTTTGAAACCATGTTAGTCGAGTTTGTCTTGGCAGCCAGGTTGCGTCCTCTATCAAAGCTGTACTCATTGGTGAGCTATTTTTTTCCAGGAAACGTATGTAGATCCATAGCTCCATTTACTCTGTTTATACTTGTAGAGGTACCTCTGTTGTGATGAGCGTTCTTCTGTAATGGAGTAGATATCCGTCGGAAACTTAAGATCCTTTGAATCTTCCTTCTCTGAAACACAGTAGTGAACAACACTTGTATTCGCAAGCAGATTTATCTCTTAATTTTTGAAGTTGTTTACACACAATTTCCAATGTTAAGCTTTGGTCGTAAACGAAGATACACTTCAAATTCAAATAAGGTTATTCAGTTGTTGAGTTTGTATGTAGTATGTTTAGTGCCTGATATTCGTAGTTTTGACTAATTCCTTGTAGATGTTTTGTGCATACCATGTTTGTACATTTGTTAGATTAGAGTACAAAAGAAGTTAGTTGTAACATGTAGACACCTATTTTACTCCAAAAACAATTAGACTTTTATATATTGTTGTTTTCTGCACGTAAACCTATTTTTAAATGCCCATTTGTTTATCCTATTTCAGTTACTTTCAAAACGTATGTAAACTGTAATAAAATCATTTATCACAATAGTTGTTAATCTTTATTTAATTTGAATGCACAAGACTAATAAGTCTTAGTTTATTTTTTAAACTTGAAGTAAAATTATATTTAGGTATAGCAGGAGAAGTCAAGCTATGAAACTTATAGCAATATGAACTACAATAATTTTGAAAAAAGAAAAACTTAATTCTTTGTAACATCATTTATTTTGAAATCCTTCTCATATGGAATAAGAATTCAAAAGATTGTTCCTAAAGGCCCTTCTTACACACTACCTATGCTTAAAGTGCACTAACCTATTTGGAGCTATTGCACTCACTTTTATACTTATTATTGGTTATGCTAATTTTGTCAAAGTTTATTATTATTATTATTATTTTTCCTTTAAATCATTTTAACTTTTCAAAAAGCATTTGACTTTACAATGGTGTTATCAAAATGCAAGTACATAAATACTTAATATCATTTTACAAGAAAAAAAAGATACTTGCAAAGCAAATTCACCTACAATTTGTTTCAACCACACACATGGTAGCAAACATTTTTATTAAGTCTCTTTTCAAAAGTAAACATTTAATACCTATCTCAACTAAATATGTATATAATTTCTATATCTTTCTACACTTATCTAACAACACCAAATGTTCAACAAAACTTTTCTAACTCATGGAGTAGGAGATTAACTAATAAATTAACTTATCAATTATCTAAGAATTATCAAAGTACAAATCAACAACAAAAATACTTAAATTAGCAGTACATGAGTTTGTCAAGTATGTACCAACAAGTTTTGTGGAACCAATAGCAACATTAGAAGCTATATTGAGGCACATAGTTACATTGGCATTCACAATTGCATCTACATCTACAAGTGCATCCTCATTGACAATTTGAAAAGCATCTGTGGCATTCATTGCTATACCACATTTTAGTAATTTGAAACATAATATTCTTTCTATCTATCTCTATAGGCAAGCTGATTTGTTTATAGTGCTATACTAATAGGTATAAGACTAAGGTATGGTGCCAACTTTGTTCTATGCTAAACCTTATCTTTTGGTTGCATACTATTGATATAGTCATTAAGGCCAATACTACCACCTTAATTTTGATATGTCTAATTTTGATGCTTATATTTGAAAGATAAAGATTGCCACAACAACCATATTAGTGCCTCTATTGACAGTCTCAACACCACCAATATTTGCACTAACAAATCAATACATATGAAAATAACTACAAAGATTTAATTACAAATGTTTATAAAATATCAATAAGAATTAAAAGAAACTTTAAAGAAAGTGAATATTTTCCTTACCTACTCATATTTGATGGAATAGTAAAAGAACTATCCAAGAACTTTACAACAACAAGAGAAAAGAATCTTGAATCCTAAGGCTTTGAGATATAAGAGTTCATAGTGGATGAAACTTCAACATAGATGATGACTAGTGTTTTAATAGGAATATTGAAATCATTCTACAATACAGCACACTTATAATATGTACAAGTATATAGACCAATAGTTGTGAAGACTATTGAGCTCACATTATAATGTGTACTTGATTGATCATTTCAATATTAATTAATATATTTCCAACTGATTCAACAATTTTAGAAATCCGAGAAGAAAGTTTGACCCCCCGTGACAAGAAAAGCTGCTTTTGCAGCCCGCCGCACCCAAAAGGGTGTCAAATACTCTTTCGACCTTTCATCGTTCTTGGAAAATAGTTTTCTTGATTAAAGATCGGGTGATGCAATTCTAATCTGAGATCTATGAAGAACATGCAGTCCTTCATTTGTAAACATGCTGGTCTTTGTTGTTCCTTCTGAACACCTTTGATAGCCTGATCAAAATCCCAAAATCTTTGAGCTTCTTCGTCCTGCAGCACTGTAACACACCCACTTCTAATAAACCTTAAACATGAAAACCTTTGTTCAAATCCTCCTGCATTTGCATGTTCACTAAGGACTCGAGCAAGTCCGACATTTGCTCATTGTAGATCTCCAAAAGGGAGCAAATACATTTGTGTTCCAACTTCCTGTGCTTTTGGGCTACTTCTTCCTTCAGAATCCTAACGAACAGGTACTCGACCAAGCGCGGTGTCATCCCGCAACTCTCATTATGCTGATGATTGAAGACCCCAATGTCCCCAAGCACGATATGCGTCTTGCCACTACCCGTCTGGCATATACATACATGCAACTGCTGTAACTTGCCACACAAATTTCCACCATCGACACTCTCAATAGCTCTTCCTGGTTGACAAATTCACATGCCACATGGTCGAATGTAAACCTTGTATCCGGTTGCCGAAGCCACAAAATTGCGTGCACCTTCTCTTGCTTCACGTATCTGGCAAGCCCCAGTTGAGCAATCTCGGAGCTGCTAATCAGACACGCACATATCAGAACCTGGACATTGTGAGCACATCCAAGCAGTGGGATCCTCCACTAACTCAATTTGATCAAAATGAGTTCCTCTTCGTGCAACCGAGTGGCAGTTGTAGCATTGACGCCATACTTTGCCCATTTTTCAATCCTTTGCAGGGTGGCACCAGCATCTTACAAGCTTCAGTTTTCATGGCTTCTATACATCTTGCTAGCAATGCACACTCCCATGGGTTTGCAGGTTTTAGAATCGAGATTCGATGTCACCTCAACCGGCTTTCATTTTTTTGGCTGGCGAACTTCTCTTGAAGTTTATGGCGTTGTACTAACACTGCAGACTCTACAAATTAGTAATAGACCGCTTTGGTGACCCACTTAACTTGCAATCAACAATCATGTCCTACACTACTCAAGATCATTAAAGTTTAGATCTCCACACAAAATGTGTTAGTTGACAACCTGTGGATGCAAACCAATAGAATCTCTCTGCCAAATTTCAATCTGTGTACAAGTGCTTGTTCTTTAATAATAATAATGAAAAATAAATAAATAAAAAACTTCAATGCAATTGAATTGGTCTCTATTTAGTGTAAATATGTAAATAATGTAAATATGCCTTTTTGACTTGCTTGTGTTGTAATTACTATAGGTAGAAAAATATTGATTTAGTGACTTAGATAAGTTATGATTTATTAGTTAATAAAATATAAAAATATTGTATTAAAATAACCTATATATATATATATATATATATATATGTATATTATATATATGTATATTATATATATATATACATATATGTATATTATATATATATAGATAGATTATTTGAACTAGTGTATAAGAAAATTAGATTAAAATAACCTATATATATATATATATATATAATGACTCTTAGACAATGATTTTAAGAAAATTGCATTAAAAGTGTTGTCTATTTTATTCTACAAGAGTAACTTGTAAACAAAGTTGTTTATTATTTATTTTTATTTTTTATAGGAGTTGATTAATAATCTTTCTATATTTATATCTTTTATAGAAGAAAATCACATATTTTAAGGTAACATTAAAACAACTTAATTATATATACAGTGTACATATTTACTTTGTAATTTATTATTTTAATGTATGAGTATTTCTCTTGAATTTTCCTAAAAAGACAATTTAATCCATAAATCCTTTTTTTTTCACATAATATGAGATTGCATTTTATTTCTATATCATTAAAAATATTTTTATTTTTTATTTTATTTAAGATGTTTATAAAATTTCTTGTATGAGACTACATCCTTAAGAAAGTTTTTATCTATTTTAAACCCCAAATTAAACTAGAATTGAAATTGTAACAAAGCATGTAGATTTAACTAATTTGTAATAAAAGAAATTTAAATGACTTTGGGTTTTGTATAAGCTGATTCTTTTTTTTCATATATATTTTAAGTTTTAACTTATAAATGTTTTGCCTAATTTGGTTATTATCTTATTCTATTAGGTATATTAGTCTAAAATATCTTTAAGTAACAACTATATATATATATATATATATATATATATATATATATAGTTATTTATATTTATATCTAGAATGACAATTGAAATTGTTTTCATTGATTATTATCATTTATTGCAAATATCTCTTTCTAATTAATTTTTTTATTAGATTTTTTTGCTACAAAATTTTGAATTCTTAAAACATGAATACATTATAATCAAGATGTAAATTATTTAAACAGCTGCAAAGTCTTAATAATTCTTAAATATTATCTAAATTTTAAGTTGGTGCTCTTTGAGTTTTTGAAAAGACATATTTGACATATTCTTCTATCTGTTTTAGTGAAGATATTAGGTGTTTGATATTTTATCTTATTACTAGTTTTATATATATATATATATATATATATATATACATATATATAAATTTAATTTAATTACTATGTACAATACAAAGATTTCTTATTTTATATCTTTTGTAGTCATGTCTTTATTTTAATTCATGATGTCTTATTTTAAAACTAAAAGAATCAAATATTTGATCTAAAACCATTATTTCTAAGGTTTATCACTAGTATCAACCTAATGTAAGTTGTTACCTACAAGTCTCTTTAAAAAATTCTTTTAGAAAATCAATATAACTTATAAAACTTACAACTTATAAAAGTTTCATCATAGATTGAATTGTTTTGTAATTCATTGTCTTTAGCATTAAAATTAAAATTCTAAAACCAAAAAACACACATTTAATCAGTTTTAAAATATATAAAAATATATCTTGGTCTTTTTTTTCAAATTTTTAGATTTTTTTAATAAATTTTTAATTTTTCTTATTTTGATTTTTGATTTTTTATTATTGCTTGCTTTGTAAGAAATAAATCCTCTTAGATGTATTTTATATAGTAGAAACAACAATTGGTTTACACAAAACTCAATCCTAAAATACATAGAAGTATTATAATCAAATATTTATGTATAATCTCAAAGATAACTATGTATTTTGACATAGAAGTATTATAATCAAATATAATTAATAATGATCTATAAGTTTTTCAAACAATTTACTTTTATTAATTTTAATTTTACTTTTTTAATTTTATTAATGTAATATAAGATATTATACTTAAAAAAAACTTTATTTTTCATATTGCATCATTTGAGAGTTATTCCTAAAAACATCTAAATTTTATATAGGACAGTTATATATTTATTATTAATAGATGATCAAAGATGAGATCTCACTGAGAAAATACAAAAATCAATTGTTCATTCTATAAAATTATTTATTTAATTTTTGAAAGTGAGAAAATAATAAAATAAATAAATAAAGTATAAATAATAAATTTAAACTTTATGTAAATTTTAGGTTTCAAAATAAGTTTTAGTTTCTAGTTTTTTGTATTATGATTGTTATTATTAGGTTTTGAAATATATCTGTAAAAAAACAATTCTAGTCAAGGACTTCAAGTTTTTTAAACACAAAACAGAGTTTAATTGAAAATTTAATATAAGTTCTAAAAATATAAAAATTGAATGAGCCAAATTCAATCAAAATTTAAGGCTTGGCTTAAATTACAAAATTATTCTATAAATTTACAAAATAGATAATCATAAGTTTTTTAAAAAAAAGCTTATTCTTTGATACAAAGAACTCGACTGGTAAATCTTTTTTGATAAGTGTTCAAATATAAAAATAATAAATAAATAAATCTAACCTAAATAATAATCTGAAAAATATTTCTTTCTTTTTGTTGACTGCTAAAGAATACGGAGCTGTGATTTAATATTTTCCGTTGTCTAATATCTAGATTTATTTATTTCTTTTTTTTTGTTTCTATATAATTCTTTATTTTATATTAAATTTTTTGATATTTGAATCAAATTTGGTCTAACACATTAAAAAATACAACAATAAAAACAAATATTTCTGTTTAATATTTTCGTTGGTTTTAGATTATTCTTAATCATTTGTACTATAATCCTCTCTTTATTGATAAATTATTTCCTACAATGTGCCCAGCAACATACATATAAACCAGAGAATTTAACTTCTTTTTCTTTTTTTAAGAAATTATTTAAACAACCAATTGCATAATAGTTGTATTTTGAGCAACCCAACTCCACCACTTTTGGAAACCACAATACCATCAACAAACCTCTAAACCAAACATAGTTTTCTTCATAAATCCACACGATTATTTTTCTCCAACAATTCATCTTCTCACATATTCCCACTCCCCAACTCCGAATTATCAATTCAAAGCCATCCAACACCAACAAGCTCTAGTCAAGAGCAACCACAAAGGGAGGGCTTCAAAGCAGAAGAAGAAGAAGAAGAAGAAAGAAAAAAAAGCAACTTTAAACAACAATAAAAAACAATAAAACAAATATAAATATAAAATATAAAATGAAACAAACAATAAAGTAAAAGCAAAAGGCAGGGAGCTTGGACGGAAGCGGAGACCATGCCATGTCACCCGGTCATATAACAGGTCAACACCCCCCCCCCACATATGCTGACGTGGACACGCATGCAACAATAACAGGCACCAGAGACTTCATGTTTCCACTCGAAAGAAGAATATACTAATTAAATGAATAATAAGACCCAGAATCCCCGAATAAGAAGAAGAAGGCAAGAAAGGGTTTTTGGAATGGAACGAAATCTGCGCAAGCAGCTTCGATGTTATTTGTGTGTGGACCGTGATCCACAATTGTTGTTTGATTTAATCCTGATGATGATTTCTACCGCACTGCGGTGATGCGGCGATGGTAGAGTGATGAGTTGTAGCTGGAAGAGTGAGTGTGTGTGTGAGAGAGAGAGTGTGAGAGAGTGCTCGGTGCAGTGCACAAGCCTTGCAGTCGCAGGTTTCTAGACAAAAAAAAGAAGCGACACTGGAATGACAATTTTGTGTGTTTTTTTTGTTTTTGTGCCCCGGAGGATGGGTGGTGGAAGGCAAGGTGCGATAGGAAAGCAAGCGGGGAGCGAGATTCAGTGGGACCCAGACATTCTGAGAATGGAAACTAAAAAAATACGGGGTGACTCATGGTTGCGCAAGGCAGCAGCATCGCGTCGGAGAAAGAGAAGCTGTTTGTTCGGGCGGGCAGAAGGGAGAATAAATATAATTACCCCAGTTCGTCCAACTGAGAGAGAGATATCAATGTGCTTGCAATTGGACGACGCCATTTCCGCATCTGCCCGCACCTGAATGCCCCGATTTGGGGCGTTGCGGATGGGGCTGCTCTGCCAGATTCACGACACTGATGACCCACCCCTATTTAGTACCAGGCCATAATATTCGAGCCAAGTCGCTGATGTTTTTCGATGTTGCCGGGAGACGGATCCTTGACAGGCGAAGGAACGGGATGCGAGATGATTGGTCCAACAAGAGCATCGCTAGAATTAGCGTTTGGCTGGAGTAAATAGGGTGCTGCAGTGTGGTCACGATCCCGGTGGGCTGGCACGCGATGTCGCAGAAGAAAATCAGCGTCCCATGCGTTCGCTTCCGCTTCCTCAGGTTCCCGTCGCTGTCGAGACTACTCCTTGAAGCTATAGCCGTTTTGCCGCACCCTTGCTCGGACTGTCGAATCCGACGCTCAAGAAGCTGATCAGGTGGTGGCCAGCAGGTCTTGCAACGCAAGTGAGCCGTCAGTGAGCTAGAGCCGTGGGTTTGAGTTTGTTCAGAGCGAGGGGAGTGAATGAGGTGGACGCAGTGGGCGTGATTGCGACTAAGTTTGATGGATGCAGAATCTCAAGGTTGTGGACACCTGAGCGTATTTTGATTTTTGATTGGAATGGCGAGGGGGAGGTGATTGTTGTTCAGGGAGGGGGGAGGTGAGGACGGGGTTTGGGTGGTTAGAAGCAAGATCAGCGAGGAGTGCACCGACGTCGCAAATGAGGAAGACGTTGAAAAAATGCTGTTGTTTCGCGTCTTTGATGGAGCTCTGCGTTCGCGCATCAGTCGAAGGTTTGCCACGCAGTTGTCTCGTCTGCTTTTCCACTCTGGGTGTTCGCTCCCTGTTGCCTCTCCATACACGCGTAGAACTTCACACCATATTCCCTGATGCTTTGGACATTGTTAAAGCGGGGCAAGTCGAGAGACTAGTAGCGCCTGAATGCGGACTCCTAAGTCTCATTCTCTTTTCCCCGAAATGAATCTTGCCAAAAGCCTTCGACGCTGTCTAGAAATACGACATGTGGCGTGTAATCCACAACGTCTCCGGATCACACTGTTGTCCGAGAAATTCGGGAAGAGAGGATGTTAATATTCTGAACCTGTGCCTGTAGTTCAATTGTGTTACCATTCGCCTGGTTCAGCACAGGTCCAATGTTCTTGCTAGTTCAATTTAGATTTCTCGCTCAGATGGTCGATGCTCTAAAACGTTCAGTTGAACACAAGTTACCTGAAAGTTCGGAAATCACTTTGGCAGCTCTTTTGTATTGGAAATAGTTCAGTTTTGCGTAGAAACGTGCAAGACATTCATCTGTTAAAATTCTCGAAGAGTTTAATCCTGATTTTCGGCGAGTACAATTCAAAAAACGATTTTCTGGAGACTTGCCATTCCAGTTCTATGCCGAGACAAGCCAAATGTGTTTGTTTGTTTGTTTGCTTGATGTAGTCCTTGTCTTAGTGCATGTTCGGAGGCTTCAACTCTTCAATTTAAACTTTGAATGGGGGGATGGCTTCCTTGTGTAACATAAGAAATTCCGGCGTTCAAACTTTGGAGCATGTAGGGGACGGTGATTCAATAAATAGCTCGTGTGAGAACTGACCTGCGAAATGGGTACAGACCTCGACGCTTGAAACTGAGTCGCGAAGAGGTTCAGTCGGCAGAATGTAGAAGTGATGACTGACATCCGAGTCTCTGAGTTTCAGGGCATGGTCGAACTTTTCCAGAGGATTGTGTCAGAATGGAGAGCTATGCTGAGAGGCGGAGTTGTGCGCACTTAGATAGCAGTTGATCAGTTAAGTTCTGTTGATTTGTGAACCACTTCAAAACACCATGGGCTATATTCATAGTCTTTTTATTGCAGGTAGACGCGCCCATCACTTGGTCACCTTGTCTTCACTGTTCAACAAAGGCACTCAACCCACAATCAAAGCTAACAAGCCATCCGTCTCGTATGGTCAAGCTCTTCAAGCGAAGAAAGAAGAAGACTTCGTCATCGTCAAGACGAACTGCCAACGAATCCCCGGAGACGGGTCCTCAACGTATGATGCCTTTGCGGTAAGCTTGCATGAGCTCCCTTCCCCCTACATTCTCCATGTATGGAAACGGCTTATGATCCTTGACCAGTTCTGATCGGATTTTACCACTAATACCAGCAAGAGCTTTCTCGAAGCAGGTTTTGGACGGTCATAATGGATCCGCAGCTGGAGCATTCACTAAGGAGAACCTGCTGAACAACGTGGTGAATGCAGTCCCATCTGGCCTGAGCAGGGACGAATGGCTGGCAGCTCTGCCGCGAGCAATGGTCGCAGGGTTTGTGAAGACCGACAAGGACTGGCGATCTAAAGGTGCCCTATATCGTACCATGAGAGGTCCCGTCGGCGTTGATACATTCCTTGCCAGCCTATCTTTGTACAAGCGAGTACCTTGGGGATAGAATCAACTGACAGTAACTGATCTTGTGAGGCCGTTGTGATTCTAGGAATCTTTTCGGGCACAACGGTAACCTTGGTAATCGTAGACGGATACATCGTAACATGCGCTTGTGTTGGAGACTCCCGGTGCGTGCTCGATGCACAAGGAATTGTGACAGCCTTGACGATTGATCACAGATTCGACACAAACGAAGAAGAGTGCGTGCCTCTTTTCACTTTTGAATTGAATCCTGGCTGACGCAAATGTTGTCGTGCTTGTTTTCTCACACTCGATCCTTTGGAGAAGAAAACTTGATGGAATGTTGTCTCTGCGCTGGGCCAGGTGTGAACGCGTTGTAGCAAGTGGGGGCCAAGTGGCCAGGCTGCATCCTTATGGTTGCGATATTGGCCCGTTGAGGTCTTGGCCGGGCGGTATATGCTTGTCTAGGACCATCGGAGATGTCGATGCAGGTGAGCATATCGTGCCTGTGCCCCATGTAAAGCAAATCAAGCTTTCACCTGGAGGAGGCAGGCTGATCATCGCCTCTGACGGCGTGTGGGACGCCTTGACCTCGGAGAAGGCTGCCAAAGTCTGCCGTGGCGAGAAGCACCCGGAGGTTGCCGCAAAGAACATCGTCAAGGAAGTCATCAAGGTGCAGGGCTTGCGTGATGATACCACATGCCTAGTGGTGGACATCGTGCCTCCTGGGCGAGCTTCGCGCTCTTTCGCACCAGCAGTCAGAAAGCAAATGATGGTGATGAGATTCTTGCGGCGCACACGGTCCAAAAAAGGCAGTGGTTCTGGAGCTCCTATGGAAGAACTCTTCGAAGAGAGTTCTGCAACTTTATCTGAAAGGTGAAACCAGATCTGCAACAATTTCGAACCCAATTTTTATTTCATTTTATGCTTAGCATATTTATTTTTTTGTATCTCTTCTTTATTGTTAGCTTACTTCTTTTGTGGGTTTCTTACTTGTTCCAGGTTGAGGCCGGTGACTTGAGAACGCTAAACACGGGCCTCCGCTTCCTGTGCAATTTTTATGGCAATATTAACTTAGACTGCTGCAAAAATTTATTCGCTCCATTTGAAGGCTTCCGATCGGAGTGCCAACGGAATTATCATGATTCAATTCTATGCAGAAGGTCGCCGCCGGCGCCGTCCGTAGCTAAGAGCACTAGAGTCATCGCTTTCCAACGAGGAGTTTTCATATTCTTGAGTATCATGCATGTACTGTAGATGCTTTCCACTTGTGACTGCTCAGTAAGATGCACAAGAATAGGCACTGATTACAGCACGATATTTTCGACATTTAGAAGTAGTGTAAATATACAGGTACAGACAGAGCTTGAACATTCATGGAAGCGACTTGTGTCACTACTCACTTGACTGAACAGACGGGAGTTTTTCGAAACCCTAGCATAAAAAAGGATGATGCACTTCACCTAACAATCAGGAAGAAGCGATTCATTTAACCAGCTTCCTTTATTGACCGCACAGACGTGGAGTACTGTGCCATGTGCAATTCTGTGTTTTTCTGCAGTTAAATTTCCGTCAGTGAATACGTACACTCCCAGGTTGACAAGCAAGGTCCTGTTCTTTTTAAGGGAGAATAGATGGGGTATGAGAGTTTCATCCGAAGCAATCAAATTAGATTGTTTCCTCGATCGCTGACATCCTGGCTTTTGAAATGCGCCATAATCTATGATCGATGATTGTCGACGACCGATCACTTTTGATAGAAATCGTCTAAAACACATGGAATGGAATGAATCTACCGCAGCTGACTCAAGTCTAACCACGTGTAGGGGACGACGAAGTTAATGCCTACGACCAAGTTCCATGTACATAAAGGAAGCTCTGCCATTTTGCGGAAGAATGGAAGCTGGCCGCTAATGCTGAATTCACCTGGCTTCACTCTTTTGAGGTTGATAAGTTGCATCTTGCATCAAAATGGTACCTTGAGATGTGGAGCTGAATGCCCACTTGCTTAAAGGCAATCACTAGAGCCGTAGTAGCTCCCTGAGAAGTGGCTCATGGAAACAAAGCTTGTGTGGGAGGACGACACTGGGGTGTCCAAGCTCCCGGAGATGGGCACTGGCATGGTTCCTTCCAGAATGCGTCTCACCTCCGACATGGAGGGCCGCAACTCAGGTTGAATCCGAGTGCATAGCAGCACAATCTGCGCACACAAGCTTACTTCGTGTTTGTCGAAGTTGCCTTCCAGACGTGGATCGATGAGCTCGGCAAGCTCTGCTTTCGCCAGCAGTTGCATCCATGTAAGCAACTGCGGTTTTCCTGGTCGAGAAACATGAATTCATCGTGAGATCCTTACAACAATCCATGCTCTCATGAACGCGTTATCACCTTCCTCTAGAGCAAGTAGTATCAACTAATCTCAAAGCCCAAATCTGCAAAAGGCATTCAATGCGACGTAGCTTTGGGAGTTGATTCGTGGGCTATTTATTTGTACCTGACGGGTGAGACTCCAGCATTCGTCGCCCACTAACAAGAACCAGCAATAGCATGCCGTAGCTGAAGACGTCACTCTTCTCCGTCAGTTTGCCTGTTACTCCGTACTCCGGATCCACGAACCCCAAGGTTGTCACTACAGCTCGTTGGGAGACTTTAGCCACCCTCACAGATCCAAAATGTCCAACTCGCGCCGTGAAATCTCTGCAATAAAAGCCGTAATATAACCCTCTACTTGATGTAAGACTCCCCCCAACATGATCTTCGAAGATAATTAACAATGAAGGGCTTAATTTCAGGTTAGGATGAAGATCTTGTGGTGCGGAGGATTCATACCGATCCAGCAGAATGTTGCTAGGTTTCAGGTTGCCGTGGATAATTGGCGGCCTGCAATGCTCGTGAAGATATTCCAACCCAACTGCTGCTCCATGGGCGATGCTGTATCTCCGAGGCCATCGCAAGGGTGTACTGTCGCTGAGAAGGGCATCGAGAACGGAGCCATTGGGCATGTACTCGCAGACAAGCATTGGGTCGCAGCCCCCCAACCCTTTAGAAAAGCCACGCAACGTAACCACATTAGGGTGTCGGATGGCTCCCCGCACCTTAACCTCGTTCCAGAATTCGTCGTTGATCAGCATTCCGGAATTTCGAGTATCAAGCTGCTTAACTGCCACATTAGTCCCATCGTCCAGCTTCCCTCGATAAACAATGCCTGTAGTGCCAGCTCCCAGTAGGCAGTTGTGGTGGAAACTGTTTGTTGCAGTGTGTAACTCTTGGTGTGTGAACTGCTTACACACGCTGCGTTGGGGTGTCGCTTCCACGTCTGGTGCCCTCAAGGGAGATCTGTTTTGCCAGAAGTGGGCAGCTTGCTGCGATCGGGACCTCCAGTAATAGATGGCTATAGCGGAGAGTATTGCTATCACTGTGAGAGGGCAGATGAGGACGATTACAATCAGCAGGAGAAGGTGCTTTCGAGTCCATGAATCACAAGGTTGAAGCTGTAGCGAAGTCTCTCGTCGGCAATCTGCTATGGGTCGCATCTGCGGTGCAAGCTCGCAGGAATTATCTGAGGAGAAACAGTTTTTCGTCCATGTGTCATACTCGAACGTTGCATTCTGTGCCTGGGGAATTGTTCCGGTGAAGTAGTTCAACGATAAATCTAGAAATGAAAGACTTGGAAAGCTGTCGAGCAGTTCCGGCGGCACTCTTCCTTTCAATAAATTCCCGCGGAGATCCCTGGTGGACAGAACAAGTGTAACCACGCAATCTATTAGTGGATTCAGGAACCTGATTGAGTGACTGCAAGGTGAAAACAATACGAGTTTATGATGAATGAATCCGGTCCACTTACAAGTGCTGAAGGCTGGACAGTCCGGCAAGAATCAGAGGTATCTCCCCTGTTAAGTTGCCGTTAGGAATTTTTCTGTGTTACCATCAACAATCTCACATGTTAGCGGTTGCAGCAAGACACCGAACTGAATCACAAGAAAGATCCTATCTTCTCATCCGTCTTCACAAAGTCGAAGACATTTTATAAAAAGAGGACGAGTTCTGAGGCTCCTGGGGACTTACAGGCTGACCACAGTGCAGTTCACGTTTAGTATGAAACATGGAGCTTGAATTGTGGGATTGTCAGTCAAAGCGCATCCAACACCCGGCCACGGTCCATGGCACGCGTCAACAGCGTCGACCCAGAGTTTGACAACACTAGGCGCTGCCCTCCACATGTTCTTGAGCTGTGCCAATACGGCCGCTGCAAAGCATTCAAACAAAAGTAAATTTCTTCTCTAAGTTAGGTCTCAGGCTTAATTTCATCCCACTTTTCCGTGAAGCACCTACGAAGTCTAAATTCCTCTAAGGATCAGGTCATAGAGTGCCTCTTGTTGCGGCATCAACCTGAGGGCACACAGATTTAGAGCTTCTCCGCTATCTTCTTGCGAAGAATTTTCCCAGGACGTTGAACATATGGATCCAAAAGAAATTATGCAAAGCGCAGGTGGGGAGAATAAAAACCTTCTGAGGGCGTGGCCGAGACTTGCCAATGGTGGAGGCTGAAAACCATAATTGAGAAGAAGAGTAATCTTCCACGCAGCCTTCCCGGCATTGTGCACATTTCCCGGAGCATTCAAGGCGTTTTCATGTCGATGCCAAGTGTGGCTCAGGTGGAGTTAACACGGAGTCGCCTCTCAATCATCTCCCGCAACATGAAGAATGCAAGACAGATTAAAGTTACTACTGAGAATCAACTTGCATTCATTGCGGGCGTAGTCTTATTGATAGAAGTAAGCCGTATCACCCACGCTCACGCTGAACCGCCAAACAAATTCAACTCACTGCATGATAGCTGGCAGCCGTGTATCATGGCGCCAACAATCTAGGGCTGGTTCGATCAAAGAGCATCTGTAAAATTCTTAGCCATGACGAGTTTCAGGAAATGTGGGGACTCTTCTTCCACCTCACTCAGGACTTCACTCCCATCTCGCAAGAGGCTGGGATCTTCAAGCCAAGGCATGCTCCGTAATTCCTATCGAGTCACGGTAGATGGCTGGCGATTGTCGCCTTGCTTGCAGTCACGACGTGCATTGGCCCAAACTATTCATGACCACACACACAACGTCTTAACTCTCACCATTGCTAAAGAGAATAACGCCGCCCCTCTCACGACACTGTTCAATAAAGGTCCAGCGACATGAAATGCTACAACACTGATTTTCTCCTCACTGAATGCCGATAAGGAAGAGTCCGCCACACGAGTCACGTCCCGCCCCTAGTGGTCCACCGTCCACCTCCGAGCACTCAACAAAACTCCTTACAGGTCCAGATGCTGTCCTCAAAGTCACGAAAGCGGCGAGAGACTAGAGACAAAAACAACGCCGGAGGTGCTTATCACGGGAGAGAATCAGGCTGCCGAGAGAAATACAACGAAGCACTAGAGCTTCACTAAACACCACCCAGATACCACCAGAAATTGCATGATAACCCTCTTTTTGTGGCATCATCACCAGCAGAACATGACCTGCTGGCACATGTGTTCCAGAGATACCATCATCCCCCAACGACCCGATTGTTCGAGCGCTCGGAACGGGCTAAAAGCTCGAAAAAGCCCAACCGCCTCCAGCGACTTGCACTCTTACTAACAACTTCGTTCACAACAGGAGCTTGCTGCCAGTCAATTGCGTTGAAGAGGAAAGGCCGCAGCATTGATTAACTCGTGTGTCTGGCTCGCTGATTCGTAATTTACTAAGAATACAAATTGTAGATTTACTGCATTGCAGATTATGTTGTAAATGGCCTGCCATCAGATTTGCTTCTCAGACTCAGCCATGCAGCCTGTCAGTCTTGGCGCCACTACGTTGTCAAAGTGTACCATCTACGGGCCTCGTCATCTTACAGACAAAAGACATTGATAATGTACTCATCACTGTAGGCATTGTCGCACCCTTCTCCAGTATGTTTTTGAAGCGTCGTCGACACCAGGATTTTGAATGAAGGTGTCATGTAGACGAGGCTCAAATCCAAGCAGCACAGCGCTGGTGATTGGAAATAAACACTAAGTGTCCAGCTTGACTCATCCTCTTTACCACTCGCCAGTAAACACCGCGACCCATGCTGACGATAGTTCTCATTGAGACCTCAGAGCAATTACAGGTGGATGTATTTTTTTTGCCGAAAAAGGGCAGGGATGGCATGATTTGCGGCTCCATGAGTGCCTCTGCTGCAAGGCCAGCCGTAAACGGACATTAGAACCCCAATAGTTGAAGCAGAGACCGAGATATAATGTTCAATCATGGAATTGCCACTTGGTTCAAAGGACCATGCTCTAGCACACCATTTCTTATTATTCCTTACCGGCCTGTGCATCAACATATTCAATTCCTTTGTGTGTGATTTTCTTGAGATTATATTTGGATTGGGTCCTGTTAATACTTCCAAACAATACATTGAAGAACAGCAGCCAAAGAACATCTAACATTCTTCATATGGAGAAGAAATTCTTATGGGTTCAATAAATCAAGCCAAACTTCCACCTCGGTAAAATTTAAAAAGTTTGTATTTCCATTTGATATCTTCAAATTCGATGTTCCAAAACCCTTAAAATAATCTAAAGTTGGCCACCTGAGCAACTCCTACTGGTCAGACCTGACAACTTTCTTCGAGCATGCAACAACCCCTTTCAGAACCGAACAAGGTCTCATTCCCATCACCTCCGTAGATGGGCCACTACCAGCAGCTCCGTCGTGGATTCCACCCTCCCTCGCCACACACACACGCACCTCCACCATCCAATCTCAGCTCTCGATCTGCGAAGATCTGAACTGGTGTGGTACCCAACTCAGAAGACACCCACTTAGCAAATTTGTGTCTGAATGTGCCGACGAAGTGCAGATTCACCAACGCCAATCTCCTCACAAGAACTCTACCCCGCAATCTCAGTCTATCGAGTCTCAAATTCTAGAGCCGAGCGACGGCAGCACCGATGAAAAAAAGAGGTCGTCATGGGTGATGAACCCTTAGCGATGGCGAAGAGTAACAATCACCAGCACAGTAGCCTAGTGATTGTGCGACGCAACAGATGAGTATGGAATTGGTCAGGAAAGGTGGCCGAGGTGCAGGAGAGATCTCGAATTGGGTTACTTCGGCATCGTGTCTGTCTAGGCTCGGCGTCGAAGTTGTCGGTCCCCACCGAGTAAGAAATCGTCGTCGTCCGTCGTCCCTCCGTCCATTTCTCGTTCAATCGTTCAATCGTTCGTCAGTTCGATCGTTTCTCGTTCATTTGATTGTTCGTTCGTCGCTTCGTGAGTTTCTCGTTAGCTCGTTTGTTTGTTTTTTTTTTTTTTTTTGTTATATCTCTCTCTCTCTCTCTCGTTATATATATATATAGTTAAAAAAATAAATTTTTATATCTTGCAAAATAATGGTAAGGAGGATTGTCCTGTTAACTGCAAAAAGTTGTTTTCTCAGTATTACACTTTCTTTTTCAGTGTTATTGATTTTCTTCTTTCAATCCTCCTGCTTTCTCTTCTTTTCTTTTATTATCAATCCCTTTTCCTCTTTCATTTCAAAAAACAAAATATAGTTTTTTAAAGAATTGAAAACATTATCACCTTAGTAAATGTATTGTGTTGGTAGTTAATGCACCAAATCTTTGCTTGTACTCTCCAGCTTCAAGTGCTCTTAATGGCTTATCATAGGATTTGAAGTTGGAATTTAATGTCGACTTATAAGTTACACGTGAATTAGACTTGCTAATCTTTAATGTATCAATGAATTTTTTAATCTTTTTGAAAAAAAATATTTTTTCCTAATATTTCATTTCATTTTATTTTTATTGAAAGGAAATGTTTATTAACTATGGAATTTATCATTCATGGTGCTTACCTAACCCAGTGAATTTTTAAGGTACAAAATTGCATATTTTACAGTGTGATCAATTTAATAATACATAATTTGAATCTTGAACATGGTTAATATTTTCAATAGAACATGATCATATAAACCAGCTTTTCAATGACTACGAATTAAGATTTTAACTGATTAATATGTTTTAAATTCCTTTTAAATATTTAAAACAATTTCACACATAAAATAGTAAAGTTATAAAATAAAAAAAACATGATATTCTATGAAAAAATTGAACAGATTGAGACTAGGTACAAAACTGAAATAGTTCATGTCTCGTATAAATAAATAAAATGTAATAGTTGCAACACACACACACACACACACACACACTTAAAGCCAAACCAGAGTAAAAATAAAATCACGTTGAAGTATTTGCAAAATAGTCCCAAACTTCAACAACCCACATGACCAAATAGAAATCTACATATCATGAACAATAACAAAATTATTTTTCCAAACTACCTCAACACAAGAGTCACACACACATGAAAGACAAAAAAAAGATCCACACTTTTATTGGTCAATGTAAAAGATGCTCCTAAAACTCCTATTTCTTTTGGACATGAAATCCATCCCTCTTTGTAACATATAGACACGCACTCAAGTAAGTATTAAATTTATTTTTAAAAAATACTCTCTCTCTCTCTCTCTCTCTCTCTCTCTCTCTCTATATATATATATATATATATGTACATAATGGGGGAAAAGGCTCTGTGGATGCAAAGTTGGATTTAGGGTTTCAACGTCACCTCTTCCTAACCCTCCCCTCTCAAGCTCCACAATTGAGCTTTTTGCAGAGGAGATTGCATTTGCAGAGCCTTTTTCCACCATTATCAGCAAAATTAGGGGTGCCCCACCTCGTCGTTTTTGTCTGCAGGCTTGGTGATTTTGTGTTTTAGTGGCAAGGGAATGCAGAGACATGTCATTTATGAATAGCCCTAACAATGCAGAAAAAGCACAATAAGTTGGGCCAGTATGACCAGGACACGAATGATAGAGTGACAAACCCCACTTTGTCTTGTTGCTTAATTCACTCATTAATTGGCGTCAGATTGTTCCTGCTCGCTTTGAAAGATAAAGTGGGACTAAAGGATGTTATATTGTCAGGGCTAGATTTCCCTCCTTGGCACATCATTACTTGGGACTCTTCGGGTGGTGCTGCCCTGAATTTCTTAATTTATTTTGCAACATATGATAGATAATTTATTGCTAAGCTCTTGATTACTTGGCTTAAATGGGAAAATCCTTTCCCACAAGCTACAAGGAAAGCGTACAACTCAAAACATCCAAAAACCATTGAATTTTGCATGTCATGTGGAGGATCACTCTTTCAGAATGTATCTTAGAATTCTACATGATGTGGATCCCTAATTTGTGTTTTAAGATTCTATTTTTTGCATTGTCTAATCCTTCATGTAATTCTACATGTCTATTTTTTAAAAAACCCTTCGTAGTACTTTGCATAGGTGAGCACAAGATTCAAAAAGGATTCCACCATTGATGCCTTCACATGATCTACTTACATTTTTTTTTTGATATATATATATATATAATTTTATTTTTTAAAATAACAACAATAAGATTCTATATTCTTATATTGCGATTCTAAAATTTTATACAAAAAGAAAAAGCTGATATACAAAGGTACATACATATTGTCCATTATCATAATCATTTGCACAACATCTATTTGCCATTAAGCACGATCTTAGTTTAGTACACCATCCTCTTTCTACTTGAGTTATTTATTTGGTTTACAACATTGTATCAAAGAATTTATGTGAAAAAATATTAAAATCCTTGTGTCAATTAGTAAAGTATACAAAGAAGCCTTGTCATAATGTTATTTTTATTTTTATTTGCTTAATACCACAAATTAAACATCAGATTGTGTCACAGTTATTTCAAATTTAGATAGGATTGGTAGTTTATAATTTGTTATTCTACTAATTTATGAAGGTATTTTCCATGTTAAAATAAGGTAAGAATATGTTAATACCTATGCTTAATATGTAATAAAATTTATTTATTTATTTTTCAAAACTACATGCAAAAAATAGAATTGAAGTTAAAAAGCTAGACTATAACAAAAGTGAATTGTTTTATTTGTAATACAAGACATTTTAGTTGGTTGTTGGGGATATTATAGCTACTTGCATTCTAATTAATAATTTTCAAATCAAACAATTAAGATTATGCTATCACTTTAAAAAGAATACCATTATTTTATTTTTTTATTTTTCATGACTTAGAATTTGTTGTGTAGAAGAAGATTTAGAATCTTTGTTAATAAATAGATCTTAAAATACTTTTCTATGAAAATTTAATATTCTTGTAATATTTTTACTAGGTTTTTTTTTTTTTTTTTTTTTTTTTTTTTTTTGTTGCAAGTGATTATATGTTTTATTTTACAAAAAATGCAAACGGCTCTAAAGCTCCCAATATATATAAACAAAGCATTCTCAATAACATTAAAAAAAACAAACAAACAAACAAACAAACATTACATCTAAAATGCATAAATATTACTAAAATGTATATTATTTTAGGGATTGTTTGGTTTTATCCATCCCAAGATATACTTAAAATTCCAATAACCAATTGCTAGATTAATTGTATTGTGTAATATATATACATATATATATATATATATATATATATATACATGATGTTAAACCATTATAATCCCTTCTCATTAGACAATCTCAAATTATATAATTTAGTGCATTATATATCATTTTTTATTTAAAATATCTTATAATCATTATCTTAATGAATAAAATCATGTCTATTATAGACTATAATTAAAAGACTTTGTAGATATTTTTAGAATCAACTAATGTTTGTAGGATTATTTAATTTTTTAACCTTATAGTCTAAGATGTTAACTTTATCTAATTTTTATTTTATAAAGAAGATGTTTTACTAATATAAATATAAGATCTTATCTTTTAATTTTAAAAAATTTGACATTATAAATTTCAAATTAAGAATATATATATATATAGTTGTTAAAGCCACACCTCAATTTTGTTAAAGCCACATCTTCCTTCCCACCTCACGATCCATTTTATACATATTCCTTGTCCCCAACTTTGTTCCAAGCCACTGTCTCCATCCCTCGTCCTTACCTTGTCCTTACTCCACCTCCATCTCCAATCCAACTATGAACAAAATAGAAGAAGACTATTATTATTAATTTGGCAGTGACCCAGTTACACTTTTTTTCTAACACAAGTTTTTTGCAAAAGGTTCATGTTGTGTAAGTTTGTTATTTTTATGTGGACATGTAATACTAAATAAAGAATGGTTTATTTAAATATATTTATTTATAATTACATTTATAAAAGTAAATTTCTAAAATATAATAATTAATTTATAGCTTTAGGATCTTTTTAGTAAATATAAAAAATTAAAATGTTTTACAATTACAAAGAAAAAGTATGAATCTCTATTTAGCAATGTCTAACTTGAACTTGTATTATTATAGTACATTAAAAGGTATTTTTTAACAAAAATAAATATTAGATTAGTGATACCACAAAAATATTAAGTTGAGTGAATTATTTATTTATAAATAGGTGGGATCTTAGGCTTATTTGCAATTCTTTAAAACTTTGGTTTTTAGATAAAAAGAAAATTTCTTCATTTGCTACAAGAGAATAAAAAAAATTTGTAATATGAAAAGTCTATTTGAGTTTGTATATATATATATATATAAATATATATCTAAATATATCTAAATATCTAAATATATATATATATATATATTTCAAATATAAGGTATAAGATGTATTAAATAAAAATACTTTTTATAATTATAATATGATAAAAAAATATTATAATAATTTTAGGATTGAAACTAAAACTTATACAAAAAGTAAGTCATAATAATTTTAAAATAGTTTATAAAATATCATTTCAAAATAAGTAATATATTCATATATATTCATATATATATATATATATATATCATTTACCTAGGATAGAATTGAAATAGAGTTAGAAACAAAGGTAAGATCAAAGCGGGATCTAGTTTGAATAGAGTCGGAATATGGTGGAGATAGGAGATGGGAACAGTAGATGGAAATAGGGTTGGAAATGAAGGCTACAAATGAGAGTTGGGAATGGCAGATGGGAACAAAGTTGAAAATAGGGTTGGGGACAAGAAACATGTACAAAATGGATTATGAGATTGAAAGAGAGTGTGGCTTTAACAACTCCCTATATATATATATATATATATATATAGTTTTAAAATATGTTAATTTAATAAAATATTTATATATATATTAATATCATAGATATCCATTTTTATTTCA